TCAATTTGTTGTGATCTGCAGTTGATCCAGTCACCATCTTTGGCTCAGCTGGGGTTAGTAATGTTGAAAACCACATCAGAGGAACTTGCATGTCCCCGAGAAGACCTGAGTGTGGCTAGGAAAGATGAGCTGCGTAAACTTCTGCTGGAGCAGGTACCAACAGTGCTTGGACTGTTGACAGGTGAAAACAATCTTTATTCATTTGTGCAACATGATTTCCTATTACGCATAGAAATTTTAAGGTGTCGTTAGTTGCTGGGAAATTTATTGCAGTGTTTATTTTCAGTAAAGTAGTAAAACAGCAGATTGCAAACAAGATGCAGAAAATAGACTTAAGCTTTGATGTTTAATCCATAGTACTGCCTAGTTGTGGTTGAGAACTGGCAGTTGACACATGGACATGGGTGTATGTAACTGTGACATCAGTGTTATGTGCCACATTGCAAGGGATGGAACGGACAGTCTGAAATACAGTTCATTTCCAGACTGGGGAACAAGTACAAAAAAAAGCTAAAAACCATCTATGGTACAACCATTGAATAGGTTTAAATCTGACCTGCAAAATTCAGTTTCATGCTGTCAAATCATAACATTGATACCATCTAAATGAGTCCTGCTGCCAGTCAGAACAAATGTTTTGGGGAAACAATTCAGTATATGTGGGTAACTGGGTTCTTGTCATTTATGGTTTTGCAGGTATCCTGGAGACCTACTGGGACAAGCACAGTGTCATAGCTTCCACCCCACCTCCCTCACCCACCTCAGGGGAAAACAGTAAGTTAAAACTGCAGAGACCTGGTAGTAATGTAGTTATAATCATGGAACTACGTTTCCATGTGTAATCTTGAACACTGACTGCACCAAGCATTTTATTAAGGGGTTTGTTGGTGTGTTTTAACCCGACCATTTTGTGTCTCTTTAATCTATCAGTGGAGTTGCTGGGCACATTGTTTCAGGGCAGCCAATACTCAAAGCTACTTTGCCAACCCATGGCAGCATTGGACAGTGAGAGTCAGCATCTCTGTTGTCTTGTTTTGGAGTGTTTGGCTCACCTGTTTAGCTGGATCCCTCTGTCCACAAGTATCACACCCACCCTGCTGGCATCCATTTTCCATTTTGCACGTTTTGGTTGTGATCTTCGGACAAAGCATAAGGCAGGATCCTTTATTTCTTCAAACTCCTCCTCTTCTAATGGGCAGCTTAATCCTGGGACAGTGCCACTAATATCGAATGGAGAGGGGCGACATGGACAGCAGAGAGAGGGCAGTAAGGTCGACCGTGCCCGGCTTGGTGTACTTGCCATGACTTGTGTCAATGAACTGATTTCAAAGAACTGTGTGCCAATGGACTTTGAGGAGTACCTGCTGCGCATGTTCCAGCAGACCTTCTTTATCCTGCAGAGGCTGACACGAGAGAATAACGCTCATACTGTCAAGAGCCGCCTACAGGAACTTGATGAGAAGTATGGCTCAGTCCATTAGTTCACACCGGTACTGGTGCTTGCACAAGTGTTTAAAGACTAGAGAATGTAATTTATCTTTACAATTTCTGCATGTAGTGTGCATCTGGCTATATTTATGTTTGTTCTACTTGAGCCTAATTTGCAGTCAGCAGTTGCACTGTAGTATTTTTAGTAGTCCATCTCTTTGTTTTCATCACTGCTGCTTTTTACACCGGTTCAGTCATGCATCTCAGTTCAACATATACTATATATATGAAGTTACTTCTTACTGCAAGATGTCTGTGGTGACTTTAATATTTTGTTATTAATGTTTTTTCTCTTTCGTTTTCCAGTTACTTGGAAAAGTTCACAGATTTTCTGCGCCTGTTTGTCAGTGTTCACTTGAGGCGGATCGAGTCCAGTCCTCAGTTTCCAATTGTAGAGTTTCTTGCCCTGCTTTTCAAGTACACCTTCAACCAGGTAACGATAGTTATGTCATTAGGCTGTTTAGGCAGTACACTGAACAGTCTCCATTTCTACAGGTTTCCTGCAAATTTGCTTATCTTTGTTGTTTGGTTTTTTTTTTTAGCCTACCCATGAAGGCTACTTTGCCTGTTTGGATATTTGGAGTGTGTTTTTGGACTTTCTAACAACCAAAATCAAAAGCAGGCTAGCAGACAGAGAAAGCGTCCTAGACAGGTAAGCCACTCAGGCAACCTATTTATTCCTTTGAACTGCACTGGTTTTCTGAAATATCCAGTGATGTGAAATTGTCATATTAATGCAACATCAGCTTCAAATGTACAACATGTGATGTGTTACTATTGTATGTTGCTTTTGTTCCTGTATGATTGGACAGGTACAGAGATGCCTTAGTTCTCCTCTTTAGGGAAGTTCTGAATCGGATACAGTTCAGATACAACCAGGCCCAGTTAGAAGAGCTCGATGATGAGACTCTGGATGATGATGTAAGAACATTTCGTATATTTCAGTCTGTCACCTTTTCACTGACTGTGTTCAGTATATCTCTTGTAGCCACATATTAACACCTATCAATCCCTTGAAGATATGCACACATGACAACGGCATATATACAGTGGGTACAGAAAGTATTCAGACCCCCTTAAATTTTTCACTCTTTGTTATATTGCAGCCATATGCTAAAATCATTTAAGTTCATTTTTT